CTGCGGGCACAACAGAGGTTCAACCATTGATTTTTCACTAAACCTGCACACACTGTCAAGACACGTGTCGAGTAGGCTTCAATCTCACACGCACAAAACAGAGCAGATAAGGCAGTGCAGAAAAGGCAGTATACACAGAAGAATTGAACAAGCACCGAAAAGAGAACTGTGGATCAGACAAAAGAGACAGGCGAGGAATTGGATTTTCTTTCTCGATTTTGACATCGAATGGTTCAACAAGGGAAAAAGGAAAGAGGACAAGAAAAGATAAATGCTGTGTAGATGCAGTATAGATTAGAGCTGCGGAGGGAGCTTGGCTGGAATTCTCTGGAAAATACAATGTAGGAAATGACTCATACGGTATTTTCTCTCTCAAAATGGGAGGGAGCAGTTTGACAAGAAAAATAAAGCAAACGTTTCCAGTCAGAAACCCAAGAGCACTGAGCAAATGGTTTTCCAAATGGTTCAGCCCGATGGCCTATCTACAGTATGCATTCTTAACACTAGGACTGCCACAATTATGATAATACTACAGCTCCCGTTCAAACCAAAGATTCATTAAAAGTAAGTCATGTATAAGATTTGATTTAACCTTTCCTCAGTTTTAATAAGTGCTACAACTAGTGAATATAACAAACATTTATTTCAAAGGCTAATGCAAAAGGCCTGACAGTAAACAGCTTGTTGCCACGGTAACCAGCACTTGCTCGTCTCTGGTCGAAAACCAAGCTAAACCAAACCCAGTCCGGAACCAGCGGCCTCGAAAAATGGCTCTAACTGCCACAGAAAGTAACCGGAAATATCTACCTTTAAATTTTAGTTAAAAGGTAGAACTTCCCCCCCCCCACACAAAAATATACAAACGTTTATTGACCTTCTGGCTGCGAAGCGAGAGTGCTATCCGCCCGGCAACGTATGTGCTACCATAAGGGCTTTTTAAACCTCATTTTAGGGCTATTTTATATCAACCACGTTAATTCTGTTCCAAAAAATGAACCTGAAAAGTAAGAATGTCAAAAATGCTCAATCACACAATATCAAAAACCTGTCAATAAGATAACAATTTGCTCAAAATACCTTCATATTGTATAAGATAAAAAAAACCCGTTAGCTACAGATGCAAATTACAAGCTGAAAACAAACACAAGAAAACACCAGATTCAGCTCCCTGTTTCCCCCTCCTCCTTTTCTATAAATAGTTATGCTTATCAAATAAATAATCATAGCAAACGACCTCTGCATGATGACAATGTGGAATCCAAGAGTCTTTTTAAATGGGGGCGACTCAGAGAACATATATGGGAGAAAAAATACATTACATGGTCTTTCCTTATAATGTTCACAGGGGGTGGACTGGGGTCGCAATGAAAGAATAAACAAAACCCCTAAACTCAATGGCTCCACTCGGAAAAACAGCTGAATCCTCAAAAGAAGACAACATGTGGCGTGTGTTGTGTCCAGACTCCCGGAGCTCTGCAGACAGTGAAAATAAACAAATTCACTGCTTTACACCGTTCTGCTGTTGCTTCACTAAACACAGCCGTACGTTTGTGTGCCGCGTCCGGGGAGGATGTGACTCCAGGATAAGGAATGAGCCTCCATCGTCTCCGTCGTCTCTCTCATTGAATGTTTAAAGATGGACAAAGCTAACGCCCTAGCTCAATGAAATCCAATAGGGAGATGCACCTGGAACATGTTTTGCTGCAACCCGCTCCTGCTCTGGCTCCTTTAGACTAGCTCAGTAACCATTTCTGTCACACTCATCATTTTGGGCTTGGCACTATCTGTGGCCTAGCCTGGTCGTACCACACCATAGTACAGATTACATTTCGTTCTAAGGTCTGGATTTGCTCCATTGACTCCGTGAACAGGTGGGAGGGGTTAACTCCTTTTGCAGATTGAAACGATTGGATCTGAGTTTACCGTGACGTATGTAATGCACCTGAGTCTGTCGTTAGCATTGAGCATTTAGCCTAGCTTTAGCCATCTCCTTTGCCGCTAACGGAGCCTGTGGGGAGTAGAGGCACAATTTCTTCCAGCGATTAGGTGTAGATGGAGGAGCCTGGCCTCCTCCATCTACACCTGCGGACTGCCCCGCCCGACCCGCCTGGGAGTGCTTCAGTCCTGCACCGGACCTGTCCACGTTCAGCGGCCGCTGGTCCACGTTCTGTAGCTTAGGTCCTGGATCTATAGCCTGTCCGTCCGTGGGAGCGGATCCCTTTCTCAATATGTGGGTCTCCCCGAGGTTTCCCACTTTTCTCCCACAGGGTTTTAGAGTTGTTCCTCTGATGCAGGAGGGTCTGTTGGACAGTTAGTGTCCAAAGAGAAGGACTGTGATGATCCAGGACACTCTAACATTCTACAACATGTATGACATTTATTAACATTCAAGGACATTGCACAACTCCCCCTATCGATGGATGGACTCGGCCATCATCGAGTCCATCATCACCTCCTCATCACCTCCTCCATCACCGTGTGGTTCGCTGGAGCCACAGTCAGGGACAAACAGAGACTACAGTGCATTGTGCGCTCTGCAGAGGAAGTGATCGGCCGCAGCCTTCCATCGCTGCAGGACCTGTACGTCGCCCAAGCTCGAGGCCGGGCTGGTCGTATCACAGCCGACCCCTCTCACCTGCACATGGACTATTCCAACCACTCCCCTCTCACCTGCACATGGACTATTCCAACCACTCCCCTCTCACCTGCACATGGACTATTCCAACCACTCCCCTCTCACCTGCACATGGACTATTCCAATCACTCCCCTCAGGCAGGAGACTGCGGTCCATCAGGACTAGAACCTCCCGCCACAAGAACAGTTTCTTCCCCTCTGCTGTTGGACTCTTGAACACTTCTTAACCTGTCCCCCCGCCCTTTATAAAGTCACTTTACTGCCCATCATACGTCACTTTACTTCACTGTACTGCTGTAACCTTACATTGTGTGCACCATGTGCACTTGTATATTGTTAATAGTAACTGTAACTCTATTTGAAATTTAAATGTATTCCTTAGAAGTTTATTTTTTTTTATTCTTTATTTTTATTATCTCTTTCTGACTGTTGCACTGAGCCAAAGCAATTTCCAAGTCTGTGACCTCCTGTTACTTACGTGGCAATAAAAAGGATTCTGATTCTGATATATTTCTATTCCAATACCATGTGTTCTATATTTTTTGTGTCTTAACTGTTGTTTCTCTGATCTGTGTTGGTGACTTCAATGGTTTTGCTAAGTCTCTGAGATGATGTTGTTGTGATTTAGGGCTATACAAGAATAAATTGTATTGTATTGTCTCAAGGGAAAAGTCCATTTCAAGTCTCAAGTCTATAAAAATAGGGACAGTACCTATGTCCGACTCGACCTATTCGACTCATCGCTGTTTTGTCTCTTCATTTCCTTCGAGTGAACTGTGACTAAAGGCCTTCTTAGAATAGACCACTAGGTTTCTTATTGGAAAAAAAACTTTTCGAGAAGGTTGGGAATGTTTTGTCATTTCAGATGATACCATTCATAATTCACACCTCGGCCTGGAAGTGGACAGCCGCCTCACCAACAAGTCATGCCGAATTTTGACTTGAAATGTATGTACAAATAAACCACAAACATATTACCTTTTTGTTTTTCTTGGCACAAATGATCATCTGCATAAAGTCAAGTGTTTTCTAAGTGAAATTGTCTAAATCACAAACTTTACACGTCATACGTAACATGTGTGTACGAACATCTGACTATTGAATAATGACAATATAATTCTCACGCAACAAAAGCACAGATCAATCACAGGCCGATGAAGTGCCATCCTCAGACTTTGTTGCCTCCACCCGACATTGTGGTCTCTAAATCCTCTTGGCCCCCTGTGAGTGACGGAGCCTGCACTGGAGCTGTATATGGAGCTGAGCAGAGAGAAAGTGTGAGGCCCCCTGACAGCACCCGGAGCAGGACGACTCACTGGAGACAAGTCTGTGACGTGTGTATGCCACAGTAACCATGGCAGCAGGACACTCCCACAGGATGATGGAACTCTGCATTTGACGTGTGTGAATATTCTAGGACAGCAAAGAAATTGTAAAGTAATCTTTCTGTAGTTTGTGTTGGTTGCTTTGACCAAAAGTGTCCAACTTGTCCGGCTACTAATAGACATGTCCTCTAAAACAGTTGCTATAGACCTTGTAATAGAGCTCCGGTCCGGCTTCTCATGGTTAAGTTTCTTGGGTCCAGGAGCAAATACAGACTTTCTATGAAACTCTGGACTTTCCAGAAAAAAAATCAAACCGTACGAGTTTAAAGACACTGCAAATTCTAACCAGCTACACCGGAATTAGTACATTCGACTTTGAGATCGCTGCATCACCACAGATCTTGTTTTGGCCCAAGCTGACATACTTACAGAGTTGAAAACATTATTCCCAAAATCCTATGGCTTCATAAAAACGTGGACTTTACTTCCGGACCGCTAAGCTCCTCCCACTTGGTTTTGGCTCTAGTTCTATTACTTGTCCAATGTTAAGCCTAGCGTACATTGGACTGGCAACTGATTATATCCGTGGTCTATGAGTGGCTGCCCCGCACACATCGACAATCTGGAGAAAACGGGCAACTCCTGTATCAGGCCAGTCTGGGGAATAACAGTAACTGGCCTCAACTACAGTGTGTTTTCTGACATAAACTGTAGAGGGCGCTATACACGCAATACACACATGTTGTTGGAGCACATCCGGTGATATCTCCGGATCTGAGGACAACTAGTTGCCGAAAAGTAGAACACGAGCAACTGACTGAATCCGGAGATCGACAGTTTATCTCCAGTTGTAAGAGCGCTCACATCGACCGACTTCAACTGATCATCTCCATCATCTCCTCTCAGTCGCCAAAAGCCGCCTTCAACTAGTTGTCTCCAGTTACTCTGTCGATGTTCGCTAGGCTTAACACTTGCAAGGAGTAAAGCTACACGTACATTTTCTTGAGCTTTTTTTCCATCTCATAATCAATAATTCTGGA